TGTGTTTCATAAGAGAATTACTTTTATCTATGTTAAAGCGATATCGTTTCAACTACACCAAAGTTTTTAAAAAAAAGCATTACAGTTTCAGGGCTCATGTTTTCTAAATACTATCATGCATGCATGTCTCTCCAGGTTGTTGTTCGAGTCCCACGAGTTGAGATCTCGATTCATGTAGCAATATTTTTTTTTTATTATCCGTTGATGCTAGTAATCGAACGGGCGGTTTATCTGTGGATTATAGTGGTGTTAGGGTTCTCGAACTCATTAAAAAAATTAGTGTAAAGAACACTATCTTATTAGTAGCCTTCGATCCATTTAATGAGTGATTGTGATTTGTATTTGAGTATAAATTAGGAATGATTGTTGTTCAGTAGATACGTTAGAACGAATTACAATCATTTAGTAAATAAATCAACAGCTACTAAAAGGATTAGAGTGTTTAAAGCTATTTAGGATCTAAATATATACATATGTAAAAACCATAACAAAAACTTTATGATATCAACCTCAGTGTGAAAATCCGTGGATAAATCCATCGTGTGGCAAACAAAATCATCACGAAAGTACGAGAAAAACTGAAAAAGTCACGCGCACGCGTTTTCTCTCCCCTTCTCTCTCTAAGGAAAAAGGAATCCCCTCTGTTGAATATTCCCGCCAATTTCAAACCTTTACGGAAACTTTCCCGCCAAGAAAACTCCCTGCAGCCGTTTTGCGCGCGCAACCGCCATTTTCCCGCCAAAAAAAAAAAAACAGAGCTCAGCGCCTCACACTGTAGCCACCCCTCGTAAGCACACGACGACGTTGATGGATGTTAATTGTTTAAGTTAATTAATTTTATATTTCATTTTTTAAATGAACGGCAGCACGGTTTGCGAGGCCCGCGTCCTCGAATTGCGCGGGGGAGCCCGTTCTCCGTACAGGTGCTGGCTCCAATCATGGCCAGGCTCTGAATGAAAATAAAATCGGAGAACGGAAACAAAATAAAAATTGAATGTTCCCAAATAATCAGTAAATAAAAAATTTCATTAATGATGATCATACCATTACGCAATAGGAGCGGGATAATTCGCACGTTCCCTCTTGTTGGTCCCATATTTTGATTCCATGTAGCAAATCTCTTGCTCTCTAACTGGTATAAACAAAACACCTTAACAAAAAAAGAGAGTATAAAAAAGAACGGTTTTTCTATAGAGTACCCTTGGGCACTCTATAAGAGAGGAGAGAGATAGAGAGAAATGAATGAGGAGGGGGGCCCCCTGATTTGCATTGGGATTCTCTCTTCAATCATTTCTCTCTATCTCTCTCCTCTCTTATAGAGTGCCCAAGGGCACTCTATAGAAAAACCGAAAAAAGAATTCTTTCTTTCTTTTTGGGAATCCAGCTCGGACTTTGGTCTGAGCATGAACATGTCTTGACAAAATTTCCCTTGTGTTATTAAAAATATATAAAAATTTACTGAACATGTATTATCTCAAATAGAGTAAGGCATTGTTTGGTTTCCTGTTTTTGAGAGAAACGCTCTCTTGAAAGTTTGCCAAAAATATCACTTTTTTGTAGGCTTTCAGTCAAAACCTTCTTTTTTAGAGGCGATTTTAGCTGAAAGCCTGCTAAAAAGTGACACTTTTGACTGGCTTTCAAGAAAATCTTTTCCTGAAAAACAGTGAACCTAAACAGCCCCTAAGCTGCACAGTGTCCATCTCCGCCACTTGATCATCGGGCCACATTCATTGAACATCGAAGTTTCTATCTTTGCGGTTGCATTCAAACATTCAATGCAATAATTAATGCCGGCACCTTATTGCATGTGTAATAATGTGATAAAGTGACGTAATAGCTAATAAATTCGTGCCCCCAATTTACATTAATCCCTTGGCATCCAAAGCTTTTATCGTCCAAAATTTTCCCCCCCTCTTAATAAGGATAATTGGTGATTCATAAATACCATGCTTGCATTAGTTTATTTAGATGAAATTAAACCTTCTTCAAACTATATGGACAAACTCCACAGAAATAGTTTTTAGTGGCTACAATTTTGAAAAGGGCTGTTTGGTTCGCTAAAAAACATTAAAAGTAAAGAAAAGGAAACATATTTTTCATAATTGGATGTTTTTTGTTGTTTGGTTCGCTTCTTAGAAGTAAAAAAAGAAATGAGTTATCACCATATTATTGGATGATGTGTGCGATTTTTAAAAAAAAATATTATTTTGAGGTTCTTTTCTTGTGTTTGGTTGACTAGAAAAAATAAGGAAAAGACCTTCATTGTTTAGATTCTTTTTTTTTTTTTTGTTCATTCTTAAAACAAAGAAAATATATGAGATGAGATGAGTTGTCATTATATTATTGGATGATGTGACGCATACTTAGGAAAATAAATTTTTTTGTTTTTTTGGAGGAAATGGATGGAAGGAAATTTTAATGAGATTGGATGAGTTGTCACCATATTATTGGATGACGTGAGTAATTTTTAAAGATGGTAGTAAATGAGATGAGATGAGATGATGTGAGTTGGATGAGTTGATTGATGTGACATATTTCTTGTGTTTAGTTTATTTTTAAAAATAAGAAATGAGATGAGATGAGTTGTCCCCATATTATTAGTTGATGTGGGAGATTTCTAAGAGTGGAAAATGATGGAAACCAAATTTTATTGATTTCCATGCTTTTTTCCCCCTTGGTTTTTAGGAAACGAACCAAACAGCCCCAAAAGTTAGTTTTTAGTTTGGCAAATAATTAGGCCAAAATTAAACCGGTTTTTTTCTTAAGTTCAAATTGTAACGTCTAAACCGGTTTTCTTTTGGACGGCCTCCTGTACCGTTCAACTCTATCCTAGCTAAGCAAAAACTAGTTTAAACTCAGTTCCTCTTTCGGAATTGCCAAAGCACGCGCAGAGTAATAAAATGTACACGGGGAATCCAAGGTTTGATTAGTTCTATATATGATTTGTATTTTATTCTATAATAATTCTAACTCTCGTGATGCTGCCACAAAATATTTGCAATGGTTTTATAAAGTTTGGTGCAGCTTTTGCCTTAGCTGTCAGCTGCCGCTAAAAAAATTAAAAACTTTGAATGAACAAGAGAAAACACACACACACACGTGTGCTTAATCCCAAGCCCCCCTATGAATGAAAATTGAATTGGACCTCAATAAACAAAGGATTGTTATGCCTAATTTAGCTGGTTGGATTACTATTTTGGTCATCCATCAATTCTCTAAAAAAAAACAAAGGATTGTTATGCTTCATGCTAATAATCACGGATCCAAGAAATAGCCCAAAACACACCAAATAGATATATGTCGAGGTTAATATATTTTTCATATTAGCGTAAGCGTGTTTATTGTGTTTTTTTACCCCTTCCCTTTTTCCTCTCTTTTATTTTTATTTTTATCATGAAAGAGCAGATAATGGTATAATCGCGCCCCCACCCCCCATGTGGCTGAAACTATGTTGGTTTTGACAAATAAGTTGAGTATGAGTTGATTTTTACAAATAAGTTTCAAAAGGGGATTGTTTTCAAAATTTGTCCAGCATTTTTTATTCAATTTATAAAGAATAAAAAGGACCCTTTTCACTCTCCAAAAAGCCAACACCAATAACACAACTTTTTTTTAAAAAAAATACGATTTATTATGTGCTCTTTGGTTCTATTTATCAAGTATTAATTTTATATTAGTAAAAACAAGCGGACTAGAATCATTGTTATAATTTTAAAAAAAAAAAATCATGGACCCAAAGAGAAGAATCCATGAAGTTGCATTTGACTCCCTCTAGCGGTAGAGGTTTTAATTCGTTTTCCTTGAAAATCATGGCCCACCAACTACAAAATTATCTCCTGGTGCTACTTTCATTGGAGCACTTGCTATGCATTTCCCTAAATAAATTATACCTTATCCAGTTGCCAATAATAAACCCTCATGCAATTATAAAAAAAATTATAAGGAGATGGCCAAAGAAAAACAATATAAAACTCTTTCAAGCTTCAAAATGTTCAGCTGTCCATCAATAAAAATAGCACGAATAAGTATCCAACTTTAATCGAGCGCCATAGGTTTTTTTTTTATTTCAGAGAAATAAAAAGATCAAAAGCGTGGGATTTAATTATTTAAAGCGGTGTATCTCTCCATCTTTAAAACTCTTATTCAACATCACACGTGCATCTCATTTAATAAGCAAAACCCAAGCCCAAACACTGACTATCAACAGTTCCCTACCTAGTTTCATAAGGCAACTGGCAATAATTTGTGACATTTAAAAAAAAAATAAGTATTTTCACAATTTGATATACGGACAAATTTTCAAAACCAACCTGTTTGCCAAAAGATTACCAAAAAAAAGTCCCGTTTCAAACTTAATTTCAAAAAACCGACCTAGTTGGGCTGAAACTTGGTCGGTTTTTGAAAAAAAAAATTCTCAAACTTCACGGAAGTTGGAAGTCCCGTGAAGCTTGGGAACTTTTTTTTTCTTTCAAAAACCGACCCGGTTTCAGCCAACTGGGTCGGTTTTTTGAAATTAAATTTGAAACGGAACTTTTTTTGGGAATAAAATTCAAAACAGGTCGGTTTTGAAAATTTGTCCTTCGATACGTTCAGATAGATTCTCCAGAAAACAGAATACGTGACATTTTCCAATGAGTTCTCATCCAAAGCAAGCTTGTAGACAAGAGATCGGCAAGTCCTCATCAAAACCGGGGAGCTCATGGATGGAACCAAAATGAACAATCAAAGCGTAGCGTCCTTTGGGGGCAAACACAAGCTCAACTTGTGTTGGGTTGGGGCTGTAAAGATTTTTTTGTGAGCATGTGTCTGTAGTTTATCCAATGAAGAAACCCTGTTCACGACAGGGATCAAGTTGGTACTTGTTGGAGGTGGGGCCCTGATTTTGATCGCTCAGTGCCACAGTTTCGTAATGGTTTTGGATTCTCATGTTCCCAAAGATTGGAAACGCAACGGCATTCGATTTTATTTATATCCAGTATGCTGTTTTCGAGTCGCGCATGTGATTGAAAATTAACTTCACACAGTAAATATTTACGTGTGACGAATATTTTACCATATGCTTACCAAGATGTATCCATTTGCAGTTACCCACGCTAAAAAAGAACTAAGATTACAGAAATGTACCGGTGAAACTAAGATTACAAAAAAATGTAACAGTTATCTTTTACCTCCGAGTATTTATTCTGTAGCACCGTTGTTATTTTCGTCAGCGTCGTCATCATCATCAGCATCACCATGGTCGTGTGGGTGATCATCAGGAAGGAAAATAACGGAGCCCTCTTGCTGAAGATCATCGACGAAAGACCTGAACAGTATGCTACACAACATCTGTGATTTGTCTACTTCAAACTCGTGATCAGGTGTATGTCGCTGATTAAATCTGCCAGGGAGTTTCGAACTGCTGTTGTAGCAAGTTTCGCAGAGGTCGAAGCCTATCTCTTCTTTGCAATCTTTACATCTGTATCTCTTTCCAGTAATGGGGTACATCTGCAGAGAAGAAGCCTATCTCTTCTTTGCAATCTTTACATCTGTATCTCTTTCCAGTAATGGGGTACATCTGCAGAGAAGAGAGGGTGTTGTCATTTTTAATAACTGCATCTGTATCTCTTTCCAGTAATGGGGTACATCTGCAGAGAAGAGAGGGTGTTGTCATTTTTAATAACTGCCGAGTCTGATACCCGAAAATAATGATAAGAGTAGTTTCAACCCCGAAGGTTTAGAAGACGGAATGCCACAATTCATAAAGAGAATTTAGCAAAACTACCAACTGAAGTTCTCATTCATTCAGAGGAGGCTAAGCTGACATATCAAGGCGCATAACTGCCAAAATTAACATCTTTCACTCTCAATGACGGCATAATCAAGGTGCTAATCACTAACTTGGAAAGAAGTAGAGCCATTGCTCATATCTTAGTATAGGTAACAACCAAGTGATAGTATTAAATGTGCTAAAACATAGAACGCTGTAACAAATAGCTATCATGCTAACTATGATTTTCATGAGTTTTTCATTCAGCATCTTTATCACCTCTTCACGCTAGGTGCTTGTTTTTTCGTTAATGGTAGCACAAGATTGGTAATATTTTGAAATCCTTAAGTCAATGTGATGGATTTCAAAAGATAATGGCCAGGTTACTTCGTTGAAAAACTACCTATTAAAGTTTAGATCAAACAATCTTAAAATCATCAAAATAGCATTTACAAGAATATCGTGAACTATTCAATGAAGAAATTGGAATGGAAAACCTCACCCCGCACGTATCACATCCAACTCCAATATGAACATTCCGCAGATCTTCCTCCAAAAATAAAGGATCGTCTTTTAAATCATGTGGTTCAGCCTTTTTTCCCTCTTGCAGAGAACCTGCAATTGCACAACAGCTGCGGTTAATCGAAGTGTCTGGCTTTTTTAACATATATTTGGCCTCCATCCAATATCAGTAGACAAATTCAATAACATGTGAATAGGACAAAACTATTTCATTATCACAAGAAGAGATAATTCACCAGATAATGCAAGTACACTCATGATTGAGCTTGACATTCCGAGATCGCTATTCAGAACAACTTCTAAACAAGACAACAAGAGGTAAACAACCCTAATGCAAGGACTGAAACTCTTAATTTTAGCTAATAGTTTTCCATATACACATGTGGTCAAATCAACAGTGTAAAATTTGTATGAAAAGGGTTTTAGTGTTTGCTTGCACTCAAATTGTGGTTGGATGTTGATGGTAGTGTGATATGCTTCGGATAAAAAGTTGCAACGATGGCTGGGATATGCGGCAATGTGGTGGTCACTACTCCCAATAACTCAAGAAGAATGCTAATAACTTGACCCTTTTCTAGGATTGATCTAATAAGCTTCTTATCCTCACATCATATTGTGCAATGTTCTCACTCAGGAACTGGTCATAACTTACTTAAATGGACAAAAAATCCAAACTTGTCACTGAAGGGAAAAAAGAGACAGTAAAACATTGCAGCTAAGGGATGACAGTCCACAAATAGACAAGTAACTTAATATAGAACCCTGATTGGCTTGAATGAAAAATATCAAATAAACCTAGAACTAATATATCTGGCTCAAATTAAGTCCCAACTCTTAAACAAAGGATCGTGATTCTATAGGATTAAAACTTAAAAGTAAACATACTTGATGATGATTCTCTAAGTCGCCATTCTACTCTCTTAAGCTGTGCCTTTTCCTTCCTCACTGCATACTTCGTTGGGAACTGCTCTTCCAAGAAATGGTCCAAATCCAAGCAAACATTTGGGAAGCCTCCAGGGTGAGGGCTCTGGCAAGCTGGGCATAAAAGTGGCCCGTTGGCTAAATCAGATAGACAAGTATCACAAAATACTGCACAAGAAGAAAAATAGTAAATATCAGCATAACATCAACAAAGTAAAATGTAGTATCATCATTGTAACTTTGATAGAAGTTCCAACCATGTCCACAGTTAAGAACGGATGGCTGAAATAGCAGTTCCTTGCATAGCTCACATAACACATCATCCACAGAAACTTGCTTGTGCTTTCCGATTTCAGGACCAGTTTCTGGAGGGCAAGGTTCTTTAGATGTTATAACTTTGCTAGCTTTAAGATCCTCAGTAGATTTTTGAATCTCTTCTGAAGCATCTGAGTCCTCTTCTATCAGATAAAAAGATGACCATACATTAGTCAGCAGAGAATAAATAACTGAAGAAGTTTACGTTCCAGAAGACAGCTTACCAGTGATCATAGAGTTCTCAAACTGAGGAGAAAATACATTGAGACGTTTTTCTTCCTCTAAGATACCAAGACCATTGAAAAGAAAAATGCGCGAAATTAGTAACGCTCATAGAGGAAAATAAGTAAAGGACAAGACAATTCATAGAACACTCATAATGAAACAAGAACAGTAGATGAATAGAGAACTTCATCAACATATCACAAACCAGATGTATATTCAAGAGACACATGTGACACATTGAAGATATAACCAAATTTTGTGTAAGATTAAAGATCTCATATTACATCAAGCAGCATCCAAAGTTGAAAAACAATCTGAATATTTTCTAACACAAAAAATATTTATCTACTTAACTTGGTTATTTGCAAGCGATGCAGGCTTCTAGCAGTTTCTGCGTGTGGTGTGGAAAATGGTTGGATGTGTAGGTACTGTTTCTGGGTTGCTGAGGATGGACTAGGGAGTCTATGCACCTAGACTGCTAGAGACCAAACACAAATTATTTTGAGTCGTGGTCATTAAGTAACAGTATTTGATTGAATCTGCACATAAATGTTTCTAAGGCTAACAATATGAACTATCAGCTATGGCAACTGTAATTGCTGAAACAGATACCAACTTAGATGCTATGATTACCAAGAGCAAATAAGCATTAACACAAAATACAACCAGACACACGGAAATGCTTTAAAGAGTAGAAGGGAACTAGACAATTTGATACTAGAATATATACAAGGAAATAAACAAGATGTTACATACATATACATACATATTGACATTCATGTGTTGGCGCATTCAGAAGTCTTTAGTCAAATTTTGATCTTTTAACATATGATGATTACATATGCGCTAAGCTTATGCCATAACTACAAAAAGTGCCAACTGTTTCCTTTTATGTGTCAGGAACTCACCCAATACTTCAACTTCCCTTCTTTTGTAGGCTACAGGTTCCATTTTCAGTAACAAATGGTGGAGTAGCTGACATATGCCAGGAAAATGAACATATGGCTGCCTGCATACAGCACAATGTGATGCTCGCAGACCATGCATGGCCCTGTGTACACACCAAAAGCATGAAATATGGCCACATGCTGCAGAAAGAAGAGAGAGGTAAGCAAATATCGGCCGTGTCAATTATACATGTACAATTTCAATAAAGCATCCTTACCCAGAACAATTGGCTTGTAGAGTAGGTCCCTACAATATAAGACAAGAAAGAGTCACAACAGCATCAAGGATACGGGCAAGCCTAAAAATATTCATATAAAAACCAGATTTGGAAACAAGAAAAAAAACTTTATGGCGACGGTATAATCTCCACTTATTTGATTCGTCAAAAACATAGCAAATTCCAACACAAGATAGAGGAAAAATTACATATGGATTGTGTGATTGACCCAGAAGGCAATCTTACCCATGGACAAATAAATAAGGTAATAGCAGCTAACAAGAGCTTTTTTGTGCCCCCTAAGAATTAGGAACTTCAGCTCATGCGTAGACAATATTAAACAGGAATCATATGCAAAATTCATCCTGAATGGTTTCTCGTCATGTTTTTGAAAGGGGTCCAAACATTCAGTAGCTAATGAGTTCCCTATCAATTGCTACAAGTGCATGATGTATACTACCAGTAGTTATATGCTACTTAAACATTATAAACATTTTTAAAAGTAAATTAGACGATAAGGAGAGAAAGGTGTTCTAAATCATGTTAAAAGATTTATAGCATAATCTGCTAGGTACATTCTTTTCGACTAATCTCAAAGTCTCACAACAGTTTCATTGGTTATCCTCTTTGAAGCATTTCATCTTCATATAAGTTAAATCTATCTTAAATTGACAAGCACTTTTAGCTATGGCCTTTCGAACTATCCTTATCCAGATAAAACACATCTACTTATAATCCTTTCTCACAAAATTTGAATATTCACCCACAAAAGAAATCGAAGTGTATAAAATTGAAAAGTCTCATTCCTCGACTTCGTAAAATATAAATTAACAAGATAAAATTGATAAGTAGCATAGTTTCATTAGGTTCATTCAACCGAATTCAACAGTAATAGAAGCGCAAATATCAGATTTTGGGAGGAAATGGCTATCCTAAAGCTGTCAATTTCTCGGTAACTTGCAAATTCAAGCAATAATCAGCAATATCAGGCTAAAAATATTCTCTTTTTACCGAATTCAACGGATGAAAACCGCAAAAATCGAATTTTTGAAGGGAGAAATATCTTACAGGCAGACGCAGCACTGGAAATATGAAGGATAGGACACGTCACCGTCGCCGTCTAGGGTTTGTTCGTTCTTTAATGGATTAGGGTTTGGTGGAGGTGCTGAGTTTGTAGCGGTTTCGGTATCGTCCATATTTTCCGCCCCAGCGGAGATGATGATGGAGGATTTGGGAAGGAAACGGAAACAAAGGGTCAAAGGGGGAATCTTTTTATTGGGGTTTATTCTCTTATTTTATTTATTTTTCTTCTCCAAGTTTTTACTGCCCATTATTCTCATATAGCCCCTCCAATTTCAAGTTTTTGTATGAAAACCAGAAGAAGGGGTAAATTGTTAATGCAAATAAGGATGACAAATGATGCGGACAAGGTTTGATAACATTGAATTTCTATGTTCGACAAATTATGATTATGGATTTGTTCAAAAAGAATCATATCATATCATATCATATCATATCATCATCATTTCATTCTCCTTATAAAAGAGTGAGTTTGAGAAAAACTTTTTATGGTCAATTTTACCCTCAATCCTTTTTGATATAACATTCTAATTTTATCCTAAAATATTCAAATAATTTAAAGATAAAATTTTCAATCAAAATTTAATATTAAAAGATATCAAATAGTAGAACTAATTTTCTATCCTACTAAAAGATAAAATGTATCCAACTAATTTTATTTCCCTACGAATTCTCATTAAATTAAAATATTCATATCCATTACTAGAAATTCCTATTCACAAAAAGTAGAAAATTATGATAATTAATTTTTTTGTTAATTCTAAACAAGTTCTAACTATCCACAATTAAAAAATTCCAAAAAATTGTCATTGTCCCTCCTTAATTTTAAAAAAGTGATTTTGAATGAACATACAGGTAAATCTCACTTTGCCGCCAATTAAGCAAAAAAAAAAATATCTATAATTTTTATTAAATCTTTAGTAAGTTCGATAATTTCAGAAAGCAAAAAAAATATTTTAAAATTTTGCACTTAAGTTCCAAAATGACGTTATCCTAAATTTCATATTGGCTAAAATTAATCCTCAAGCATATTATATACCCCTCAAATAGATCTTATTTGCAAGTTAACCCATAAATTGATAATCAACCCAACAAATAGGAAAAATTACAAATACCTACTAAAAATTCTAAAATTACAAATAATACTAAAAAAAATTTAAAAATGCAAAAAAACATATAGGCCCCTAAAAATTTAAAATTATAAAAAACCCTTAAAATATTAAAATTTAAAAAAATACTTTTCAATTTCTAAAATTATGAATAACACAAAAAAATCATAAATTACACAGAACTTCTAAAAAATCCAAAAAATACAAACAAACCCCTTTAAAAATAAAAATATATTTAAACAACCCTTAAAAATTCAAACAAACATGCAAGAAATATAAAAATTACAAAAAATCTCGTAAAAAGCAAAATAGTACAAATGGAATCCTAGAAATGTTAAATTACAAGGAGCCCCCTAAACATCCTAAAAATAATAAATTGACCCCTTAAGTTAGAAAACTACAAAGAAACCCTAAAAAAAATTACAAAAACCTAAAAAATTATAAAAGAAAACTCTCCAAAAAATCAAACATTAGACACAAACACTTCTAAAATCTAAAAATTACAATCAACCTCTTGAAAATTCCAAAAAAAATCAAACATTAGACACAAACACTTCTAAAATCTAAAAATTACAATCAACCTCTTGAAAATTCCAATAAATACAAACAAACCTCTAAAAGATCTGCTAAAATCTAAAAATTACAATCAACCTCTTGAAAATTCCAATAAATACAAACAAACCTCTAAAAGATCTGAAAAGTATAAATGATCGTTATTTTGGGTTTTTTTAAAAAATTTGCGGGGGCTTAAGTGAAAGATCGTAAAAATTATTGTGTTATTGGGGTGTACTTTGATCATTTGACCACGCATGAATTAATGATGTTAATTTTGAGGATTTTTTGCCAAAAATTATTGGGGATTTAGTTAGAGTTTTAAAGGTATTTGATATTTAGTTCCAAATAGTAAAATCATTTGCGGCAAAGTGAGATTTACCTGTATGTTAATTTTGAGGGTTTCACGAAATTACAAAAAAACCCTTAAAATCAAAAAAATGTGAAGAAGACTCTTATCATTCTAAAATTATAAATAATACATAAAACTTTTATAAGTTATAAACAACCTATGCGAAATCTTAAAAGTACAAACAACCTCTTTTAAAATTTAAAAATTAAAAAACAAACCCCTAAAACTTCAAATTTTCAAAAAAACACATGAAAATATGAAAATAAAACAAAAAATCCAATAAAAATTAAATATGACAAATAGCATCCTAAAAAAGTTAAATTGTATACAACCCCCTAAAAATCTAAAAATTCATAAACAAACACTTTAAATTAGAAAATTACAAAGAACCATCAAGAAAATTACTAAAAACCCCAAAAATATAAAAAGTACAAACAACCCTGAAAAATCTATAATTAGAAGCAAATCTCCTAAACATCTAAAAATTATAATCAACCTCTTGAAAATTTTAATAATTATAAAAAATCTCTAAAAATTATTTAAAATGTAAACATCCGGGTTTGGGGTTTTTTTTTCCAAAAAATATTTTAGGTTATATTAAGTGAAAAAATGTAAACTTATAAGGTTATTAGGGCAACAATATTAGCTTTTAGGGCGTAGAGTGAGAAGAGTTCATAGTGATTTCTTAAATTTTCAAACTTGAGGGGGATTATCTATATTAAGCTCACATCTGAGGGAGTTTCTCAAATTAAAATACTTGAGGAGGTTTTCGTAGAGAATCTCTATATTTGAGGGTAGTTAAGTGAGGAAAGTTCATGGGATTATTTCAAAGTTTCATAGTTAAGGGGTGTTATCTATAATATGCTTAAACTTGACGGGGTTTCCTCATCTTAAAATAGTTGAGGGGTTTTTTATAAAATTAATCCATTATATTTTAAATATAATATTATAAAATCTCGTTATATAGAAATTATAAGAAACCCCCTTTAACTCTTCGTTCTTATAAAAAGAACCTCAACTTTGAGATTTTATTAGAAATTTTTCCTAAAATTATCGCTTTTGGAGTGATTTCTACGTGAAAGTCTTCAGATTGTAACATTCATCAATCTACGTGAAAGTCTTCAAATTGTAGTCTTCTAAAAGCTGTCAAATTGTAATTATTTTTATCATCAGTGTTTGATGGGATCAGCTATCTGTAGTGATTTTTAGACAACCTACACGAGTTTTTCAATAACAATGGTAGTTTTAGAGATCAAATTATACAACGTTGAAGTGACATATAGTTTAATTAATTAACAATGATAATTATATTAATTTAGTTAATATTAGAATGTAATATCTAAAAAGAATAGGGGTAATATAGTCATTGGAAAGTTTTTCCATAACTTTCTCTTTCAAAAGGAGTATGATATGATATGATATGATATGATATTAAGTATTGATGATTCCACCCACAGAAAAGCAACCAAACTTGCAATTCAAATAATAACATGACTGAATTCATGCAAAATAACTTATACACGTTCCTTTATAAACACAATCCAACATCTCATACGCTTGATCTAACTTATAATAGTTCCCCTCCCTTTGTCCAGCCAAAAACACATGAACAACTCCCTCAACCTCAATCGAACTCCACCCTCTGCTCTTCTTCACACCAAAATCCTTCATCATCCCCCTCATTATCTCCACCTCCCCCCATTGATCAAACCCTGCATATATGTTCGACAAGAGCACATACAACCCACTATCTGTCGGTCTCAGTCTCTCAATCTCTCCCCTCAACCCGTTATCAAGTTTCAAACTGTTAGGTTGGTGGATCCTGAGTCCGCTAATCAATGCACCCCAAACATAGATATCAGGTTTCATCGGCATGGATTTTACTAGCTCTTGAGCTTCATCAAGCAGGTTCGATCGACAGAAAAGGTCGATCATGCAAGTGTAATGCTCAATCTTCGGGCTCATGTTGCACACTTGTTTCATTCTTTTGAAGATTTCACGTCCCTTGTCCACTAACCCGGCATGAGAGCATGCGGATAGTATAGCTACAAATGTGACATCATTAGGTTTAATTCGAAGTTCTTCCATTTTGTTGAAAGTATCGAGAGCTTGTTGACATTGCCCATGGATGGCATATCCATGGATCATCGAAGTCCAAGCGCACGCTTCTCGCCTCTTTAGACGGTGAAATAGTGATATTGCTGCTTGGAGCACTCCACACTTGGCGTACATGTCTATTAGCGACGAACCAAGCCAGTCATCAACCTTGAACCCTGATTGAACAATATAGCCATGGACCCAAACTCCAAGCTCAAGTGCACCCAAATGCGCACATGATGAGAGTGCGCATACTAAAACTGCTTGGTTAGGCCTAGGTCCATCAACCAACATCTTCTTGAACTTATCAAGCGCATCATTATAACAGCCGCTGTGGCAGAACCCAGATATGATTGTGCTCCATGTCGTAACATTCTTCTTCGGTGCATAATCAAAGAGCTCACACGCAATCTCAACCGTCCCCAATCTCGCTTGAGCGCCGATCATTATGTTCCAAGACACAACATCTCTCTCAGGCATTTCATCGAACAACTCACGAGCCCTCTCGATGCAACCCACCCTCACATACCCACCAAGCATTGCGTTATAACTGCCCACATTCTTACTCACGTTCATCATCTCAAACAACTCTCTAGCCTCCTGCACCCTCCCACACTTAACACAGCCCCCGATCATCGAGTTCCAAATCACAACATCTCTATCAATCATTTCATCAAACACCTTATAGGCGCTACCGATCTCTTCGAAATCAAAGTACATCCGAATCAACCCGCATCGAATAAATGCGTCGGGTCGAAAACCCAGACACAGAATCCTGCAATGGATGGATATTCCGGGTGCAACGGCCCGCAGGAGGGCGCACGCCTTGAGAGCAAACGAGTAGGTGAGGTTGTCGGGCTGGGAAGAGACGGAGCGAGTCATGTGGAGGAAGAGGAGGAGGGAGTGGTGAGGGAGGTTAGAGTTGGTATACGATTGGATGAGGGAGTTGAAGGAGAAGGGGGACGGTTGGGGGTGGATGAGGAGTTGGGTGAGGATTTGGTTGAGGTGGGAGAGGGAGGCGCAGTGTTTGGAGAGGCGGTGGAGGTTTTTGGTGCTGGAGAGGGGAGGGAACATGTTGGCATTGTGAACTGCGGATAAATGATGGGTTTTGATAGTTCAAATTGGAAGTGAGAGGGAACCTGCAATAATCAATCCACTCAAATAGATACTTTTCTTTTCATAGCTTTTTAAAGTGGCAATATGCTGGATTTGAACAGCTTTAAGGTTCTCGACATATATAACTTGGTAGTGAGGTGGCCAAATCCCCACCCTACATCACACCTTGAAGAGAGAGCCTCAATCACTATTTTTATTAAGTATTTGTCCATCTCTTGATAGCTCATTTAACAGAACTCATTATCACCAAAACGTTCAAATTTTTTTCTCTGATTATCATCTACTACTGTTATCCTTGCTCATCAAAATCGCCTCGCCTCATGACCAAGAAAAGTCCCCCCATGAAGAAAGGGACTAAAAAGATAAACCTTCATTAATTGTTTTGCATACCACACCCCTGTGGACACTTATCCGTACACATGCTTAAGGGCCATGCAGCATCAATACATCTTATTAATACAACCAGTATATGTAGCTACCATCGCCGACCGGCGGCAGCCTCGTAGTCTTCGGTCCGACCGCCGACTTCCCCTTCGAGGCGCGCTGCTTTGGCCGTCAGCGTCACCCTCCTCCTCTATAGTCTCTAGCTTCTTGTTGATCGTCGGGATTCTCTCGTACCTTATCACCTTGGCCGGAGCTGGCTCCGTCGTTTGTCGTGCCGGAACCCCCGCCGCGCCGCCGCCGCAGTCTTCATCGTCATGACTCTGGGATTGGATGCTCGATCGACGAAAATGCTTTGTTGCGAGTGTGGATGAGGAGAGGGGTTGCGCTCCTCGACGGAATTTATAAGCAAGCGTTTGGTTCGATCCCATACAGGACGGGGGGGAATAACGCTTTTTAGGCCAATGGCCGGCTTGGGCTTTTCTGTGGGCCTCGAGGGATCTTTCTTCGTTGAACGCTCACTGCCAAAAGAAGAAAAGTTTTTAAAAAAAATCTATCTAGGACTGAAGAATCTTCACCATATTTCGGGTGCTCGTCTTTGGATAGGACTGAGAGCGTGTTTAGCGATTGCAAATATCTATATGTGATTGCAAATATCTATATAAAATGGATATATTCAGATCCTCTCTCTCCTACGATAAATATACTTGAGCTACTATGCTTAAAGTAGTGGGGTCTCTGATGACTCATCATCAAACTTGACGGCGAATTGGCGGTCTAAATAAGACCGGCCGCGCGCTTTTATGATTGGCGATACAAAAGTAGTTTGAAGGGTGTGGTTTAATTAGAATTATTCCCCTCGAATGAGGTGGTAATTGGAAAAGATCCGATTGCTTCGATCATTACCGTTCATTTCATTATCAAGGGATGAGATTATGCCGGGTTGGAACTCTTATATATGTGACATAATCTAGTCCCTTAGATTGAAATATACATTAAAGATTGGGGAATTGGACTTTCTCTAATTAGCACATAATGGATGGAAGGGAATCTGAATCCATACAAAACATGTATTAAATTTGAATTTAATGATTACACTCATTCAACGATCCGATTGCACTTACTTTTATTGATTCTGTTGCTTTTTATGTACTGCTTGATACGCGTCACGTTATCCTTTCTTCCCATGCGATTTTTTCTCTATAGTTCTTTAAACAAAAAATCCTCTCACTCATTAAATGAGCATTCTAAATTTATTGAAGATCCTCTCTCTCATAGATGAGTATTCTTAAGAGTTTTAAAGTGCCTGGAGCTAGGGGTGTCCAAAAAGCCCGGAGCCCGGGCCCGGGCCGGTGTCCGGCCCGGGCCCGGGCCCGGAAACCCGGGCAAAACCCGGGTCCGGGCCCGGGCCGGCCGGGCCCGGGCCGCGTTGCGCGAGCCACGTCCGGCCCGCCCGGCCCGGCCATAACGGTCACAAAGGTGACCGTTGCCCAGCCCGGCCCGGGCCAAATCTGGCCTAACGGCCAGATTTGGCCTTTTGACCGTTTTGCCCCTTAAAACGGCTTAAAACGGCTAAAAATCGAGGGTTTTTTGGTCATTTACCTAGGGGGCTGCTTCTATAAATAGAGGGGGGGTTTCAATTCATTTTCTCACAACAAAACTCATCTATTTCTGTCTCTACTACTCTCTTATACAATCTTATACTATCTCATACTAATATACTTATATACTATCCTATAATCTTTTGTATTTTCTAATACTTCCAACAAATGGCTTCTGGGTCTGATTATGAAGAGCAACATGCAACTCCTACCGATCCAGAGATGAGTCCTCCTACAACAACTCCTCATCCTACCGGTGTTAATCCTGAATCTGGTGGTGACGAATCTACGGCACCAAGAGCTCCAAAAAGGCCGAGGTCTGATGTATGGAATTTTTTTGAGAAGATAGACGTCACCAAGGATGAACACGGTAGGATCATCTCTCAGAATGCGAAATGTGCGTTGTGCGGCCAGATATTCAAAGCTCATCATAAGAGCGGCACCAACCATCTCAAACGGCATATTGAAAAACACAACAAAGGCCAAAATCTACAAGGTGATATCCGGCAGTCTATGCTTTCCCAATCATCCTCTTCAGGTACCCTCGGCAGTTGGAATTATGACGCTGCCCGAGCCCGGAAATGCGTAATCAGGTTTATTGTTCTTAAAAACCTTCCTTTTAAATTAGTAGAAGATGATGAATTTGAAGATATGTTTAGAGATGGTTTTTATCCTGCATTTACAAAATTTTCTCGTCAAACCTGTCAACGTGATATTTTAAAATATTATGTTGAGGAACAGGGAAAAATAATTTCTTATTTTAAAAATTTAAACTGCAAATTTTCTTTAACTTCTGATATTTGGTCATCTAGAGTGCAAACTGGTTATTTATGTATAACAGCACACTGGATTGATGAAAGTTGGAAAATGTTTAAAAGAGTTGTTTCTTTTATTGCAATTGAAGAGTCACACACTGGTATTAATGTTGCAAATTTAATTGTTGAAGAACTTATGAAACTAGAAATTGATCAAAGAATATTTACTCTTTCACTAGATAATGCAAGTAATAATAATGTAGCTGTTGATTTTCTGAAAATAACTTTGTCATTGCCATGTCATGGTGAGCTTTTTCATGTTAGATGTATCTGTCATATTTTAAATTTAATTGTTCAAAGTGCATTTTCTGAAATTAAACCCATGATAGAAAAAGTTAGAACAGTTACTAATATGCATAATGCTTCTGAAATGAGAATTAAAAGATGGAAACAATGTTGTAAAAGAAAAAATTATAAGCCTAGACTAATTCCAAAAGATGTTGACCATAGGTGGAATTCCACCTATGCAATGTTATCTGTAGCAATAGAATATAAAGAAATTATAAATGATTTTATAAATTTTTATGCTTCTAGTTCTAGCTCTGGTAGTGCTTATGGAATAACTGAAGATGAATGGACAGTTATATGTAAATTAAATGAGATGTTACAAGTTTTTTATGATGCTACTATGTTATTATCTGGTTGTTATTATCCAACTATTACTTTAGCTGCTTTACAAATTTTAAATATTCAAAAATTTTTTGCAAAATATCGTATGGATGATACTTTTGGAAATATAATTTTTCAAATGGAGAGTAAATTTAATAAGTATTTTAGGCCTATTCCTCATATTTTTGGTATTGGTGTTCTTATTGATCCATGCTTGAAGGAAATTGGCCTTCGAAGTTTGTTACAATCATTGTATGGTGGACAGATTATAGACTTAGATGATGGATCCACCCTTACTGCTACTACTCATTATGTAGCTATTAGAAATTATTTTCAAACCTTATATGATGAGTATGCAGCTAGATATGGTGTAGCTACACAACAGTCTTCAGCTTCGGCACCTTCAGCTTCGAGCACAGGTCGAGGTAAAAGTGTAAGTTTTGATAGGTATGCAATGGTAGCTGAACTAACTGGTGGATCTGGAACTTCATCAGGATTAGAGGTTTCTGAAATAGACGAATATTTATCTGCTTCCTTAGTTAAATGTCAAGGAAATGCTTTAGATATTTTGCAATGGTGGAAAGTATATGGATCAGTTTCATATCCTATACTTTCCACCATGGTTCGTGACTTACTATCAGTGCAGGTTTCGACTGTAGCCTCGGAATCCGCTTTCAGCACAGCAGGACGTTTGATCGACGACCACAGGACATGCTTAGATCCGTATACTGTACAAGCGGTGATGTGCTTACAGGATTGGTGGAGATACGAGAAGCGAACACAAGGCATCGAACGGATTGCTATGATTGAAGATAAATTTGAAGAGTTAGGACTAGCAGATAGATATAATGATTAGATAATATTCATAAAATTGTAATTTTGTTTTCTTAGCTTTAAATTTGAATTAAATTATTTCGAAAAAAGTTGCAAATGATAGTGATATGGGTGAGTAGGTGCCAACCTAGTTGGGATGTACTCATCTATTGTGATGCGACGAATTTCAAAATAAATTTATACTTGTAAAGGATTTGTAAAGGATTTACCGATTATTAATAAAGAAGTTATTTTTATCATTTTTTGTACTTGTAATTTATGTCATTTCATTTCAAGTTATTAATACCGGGCCCGGGCCACCCGGGCCCGGCCCGGACCACCCGGGCCCGGGCCGGACCACCCGGGCCCGAAAAAATCAAACCGAGCCGGCCCGGTGTCCGGCCCGCTCAGGCCCGGGCCCGGGCCACCCGGGCCCGGCCCGGACCACCCGGGCCCGGGCCGGACCACCCGGGCCCGGGCCGGACCACCCGGGCCCGGTTTTCCAGGCCGGGCCGGGCCGGGCCGGGCCGGATGGACAGCCCTAGCTGGAGCTAGGGGTGCATTCGGTCCGGATACGGCTCGGATATGATGCTTATCATATCCATATCTGCTTACTCATCTCGGATACGGATACGGATACTGATATACCTCGGTAAAAAATTTTATAACCATATCCGCTAAAATCGGATACGGTTACGGATATAGATATGAGAAAACTAGATAGTATTGAGAAAAACATAGTTCATGTGATACAAAAGAGTTTGTTAATATGTCCATTATAATTGAAAAGTTAAGATTAGACATCTTGATCATCAAAATTAACAACAAATCCATAATCTAAGAATCGAAACTATCGTAAGAGTATGACTAATACGCATTCGGATATTTCGGATACGGATACATATATTTCACTACAAAACCATATCCGTAACCATATCCTATCGGTTATAGATTTGAGTAACCATATTCGTATCCTAACGGATACGGTTACAGATATTTTCTCGGATACGGATACTGTTTAGCACCCCTAGTTGGAGCCCATTAAAATAGTCACAAAACGATGATATTTTTGGGCAAAATGGTTAAGGGAAGGCCTAGATACAAGTCTTAAAGCGATGTGCATGCCTTGTTCTCCGAGGAAAAAAGCTAGACACGGTCATTTTTCAAAGTTAGATCTTAATCTAGGATTGTATTACTTATTAGTATCCTGTCCTCATTTTTAATTTCGGTGAAATTCCTCGGGGACTATATATTCTTGTCATTGGATAGTTATCAAAGATCGCAACGAGTAGAATATTGTTGGAGAGATTAAGATAGGATTTTTGTGTGGATGCTCAAGTGATTTGATGAGAACCAGGGTTTGTTCTCCGCGAGTAGTGGGGAGAATGAGCATCAAAAGGGAGGCAGTCTTCATGCTTATCTTCCAAAAGCGTGAGAGTGGGCGGAGAACAGTATTCTTGTTGGGCCAATTACCCAAAAGTTGGCCCAACTTTTGTGTGGACGGGAATCTCGGTATATTTCCTCCTTCAATTGAGGCTTGGTGGGCCTGGCCGAAGCTTTGGGCGGTGAAAAGCGATGCAAAGTTACATTTAAATTTAAAAAAAAACAGGAGGCGAGATGCATCGAAGGAAAGCACAAAATCCCGGGTTAATTCGTAGATTGATTAGAAAAGGGCTGATGTGTCCCTCTGTGCTCTTGTTTGTGTATCGCATGCAAGCGTGACAGCAACCAAACGCGTACATCGAGCTGCTGCCGTTCGTCCTTCGTGAAGTTTTTCGGGCATGTCTGAGCCTACGAGTCACCCATTATGTGGCAAGTTATCTGAAGAGAACTGATGTACATGCAGTAGGAGCACATGAATGCCGATGCAAAATCCGGCAAGGGTTCTCAGGTCCTTGCATCCTTGTTTGTAAAGAGCATTTACAGTTGGTTACATTGATTAATAACGGCAGCTAGTTTAGCGGGCATGAGAATTAAAATAACTTTTTTTAATATAATTTAAATAAAGAATATCATTTATGGAAGTCATAGGGCGAAGAGATGTGACCGAGGATGTAGAGGTATGCTACCTGTAAAGGGAGTTTACTAGTGTACTAAGGGCATCTCCAACAGCTTCTTTAAAATTTTCTCAAAAATGGGGAAACAAAAGTCATATTCCCCAAATTATGTTTATACCAACTCCAACATCTTCCTCATTTTGAAGAATCTCTTTTTTCCTCCAAAAATTTGGAGAATGCTGCAGATTTGGGGAAGCTTCACCATTTTTTCCCCTCCATCCATATTTTGGGGAATGAGATGGAGAATCTGTTAGACCAAAAATCTAACTAAATTCTCCAAAAGTGGAAAATAGGGAAGCTGTTAGAGATGCTCTAAGGGGCTGTTTGTTTGCATAAGGAGGAAGGGGAAAAGTGTCAGTTTTGACAGACTTCCTTACAAAAACGTCTCTTTTAGATGCGTTTTTGTAAGAAAGCCTGTCAAAACTGATACTTTTGACAGGCTTTCAATCCATTTCCCCCTCTAAAAGAGGCAACCAAACACACCCTAAAGGCAAACCCGCCAGGTTCAATGATAAATTTCTCTCTTCTTTCATGTCCGTATATATCCCCCACATTTGTACGTTACTTCAAGAGGTAGCATTACTCACAGTAGATGAACGCATTGGAACCCGCATTAATCAAGAACCAAAGTCTTCCCTCTTGCCATGAAAATAAATGTGACGTTTAGCTATCATCACAATTTCCAAAGAATCCAAGTCCCTCCAACCTCACTTCAACTCGATCGCGTACAAAATGACAAGCAAATCCATCAAGCTAATTAAAGAAGGGGTTGACTGCGGTTATATATAGCTTTTTTTTATTCCCTCTGACGTAGCGTTTTAATAATTAATCTAAGCTCACTCTCTCAAAAGTCAAACCCTCATCTCTTGCTCTCTCGTTGTTTGTGACCTTCAATTTGTTTTGAGTTTGTGATCAGCTCACATCTACTCGGTTCTGGTGGCCGGTGGTAGTAATTACCAATCTCTACCTGCTATATATATATATACTCCTTCCAGTGTTTTACGCGATACTAATTAAGTGATGAAGTTAAGTTGACAATGAGAGCGAAGAGCACAATAATGCTGAGCATCGTAATAGTTTTTTACGTTACTCTTCTAGTAATTAGCGATGGTGTGGTTGAAGGCAGTGAAGGAGGAGATGGGTTGAGTGATGAGAAGCTGTTCAATCCGTATGGGCGAAGGCATTGGTGTGGTGGTGGATTGGGCCGTGGGATTTACAGCCGGGGATTTAGACGTAGTACTGGATGCTCCGGTGACGCTGGGCCCGGTGGTGGTGGTGTGGAGCGACCGGAGGTGGCGTTGGTGGCGGAATTAGAGGTGGAGCCGGAGGTGGTGCGGAGCGGTGGCGGTATCGGTGGTGGAGGTGGTGCCGGTGGTGGACTTGGCGGGGCGGAGGCGGTGCGGGTGGGGAGTGGTGGGAGGAGTTGGTGGTGAGCAGGGGAGGCGCGGTTGGAAGGACTGGCGCAGCGGGGTGCGGAGGTGGCTGCCATGGTGTAGTGCGGCGTTGGCCGGTGGAATAGGTGGTGGAGTGGTGGCGGTGTGTGGGAGTAGGCGACGGAGGTGCATGGCGCGGGTTGTCGTGTGGGCGGTGCGGAGGGGTGGACTTGCCGTGGGGTGGCTCTGCGTACTGCGCAGACCGGCGGTGGAGTTGGCGCGGCGGCGATTCGGGGGGCCGGAGGTGGCGTGGCGGCTTCGCAGGTGGCGGGTATAGGTAGTGATTTGGACTGGTGGCGTTTCGGCCGGCGCTGGCGGAGTGGTTTCGGAGGTGGCCTGCCATTTTGCTGGTGGTGCTGGTGGGGTCACTGAGTTGAGGGCTGCGATATAATTTCGTGCTTGATCACTGTGTGTGTGTGAACTGTGTGGATGGACCTTTGATCGATCTTGAGAATAATGACCAAAGTTAGGTTGCTAATGTGGTGCTGATGATTATATTCTCAGGATTAAACAAAGATGCGTAACTGGATGCTAATGATACTAATGTTAAAACATGCCACCTCATATTTTAACATGCCGCTACCAACGTAAACGTTTCATTTTTGACGGGAAAATGTAATTAGCAAAATAAATCACAATGCATATGTTAGAACTTAAGGAGCTGATGAAGATTTAAGCCTATGTAGGCGGACTCCTCAAGAAAGCTAGAATGCCTTTCGTTCACCTACCATCATAACATTAACGTCTTTATCGTCATTCTATCTAAATTTTACTGTTTGGATCTTGTCATGTGTACGAACACGACATCTTTATTACATATGCTATGTGCACATAACATATGAAAGTAAATGAACATAAAAGAAAACAAGAAAAACCATTTTATATCACTAGTTAACTCGATTTTTAATGTAGGGGATCGTATTTTGGCTATTTTCCCTTCATTTTTTACAGAAAATGTATGGTTTTCGAGCCCAAAACCGGTTCAATCAATGAACCGGAATTCCGAAAGAACAAAAACCAGACCGCTTTTAGAAAACCAAGCGAGCATTTTTCCCCCATTGCGATCCCTCTTCGTCTCTTTTTCTCTCTCTCTCTCTCAAACCCTAGAAATCGAAAGCCAGCTCGAATTCCGCCATTTCCCCTTCGACCGACAAAGAGAAAGCCGGTAACTTTTCTCTTATCCCCATTTATCGTAAACCCTATATGCTTCACTGCGATCTTGATCTTTTTGTTTTCATGAATTCCGCTGATTTATCGATTGATATATGTGATTATCATGTGATTTTTTTTTACATAATATTATTTTTTTGTGAATAAGATAGTTAGTGGCAATGCTTGAACAATCGTTTGCCTAATTCTAGTGGTATTCAACATGCATTATTAGAGAGGGGGTATTCCAAAAGGAATTTATTTGTAAAGGAAAAGTCTGAATATTCAAAAATGAAATGTTTTCAGTTGGGTGTATTTGAACATTCAAGGACCTCTTGGAATAATGTTTCTTTTCTTCCTATTCCAAAAACAATCTATTTGCAAAGGGAAAAAAAATTTGAATGTTGAATTGTTAGTGACAATGCCAGGACAATTTCTCCCCTGATTTTGTTGTGCCAGTCAATTATGGACTATTAAGAACATACAGTTGAGCCCCCTCTTAAAAAATTCATGAATAGTAACAGGGTGCTTTTTTTTAAATTTATAAAAATCCAGCAGTTATTTGATGGCTGACTAGCTGAACACTTGCAGAGCTCCCAGGGAATAATGGAGAATATGCAGTATGCAGAAGAACTGTTGAGGGAGTTTCTTGTGTTTAGAGGTTTCACAAATACACTCCAAAGTTTTGAGATGGAGTTGACAACTGATATTGGCAAAAACTTTCAAGTCGATAAGATCCTAGACTTAATTTTTAAAGTGTATATACCCAGATATCAAGCAGATAAGTTGGTGGGTCTGCTGAATTTCTTTAAGCAATGTTTCTCTTCAACCGCGGACGTAGTTCTCTTTTCCACGTTATTAAAACTCGAACTATCGATTTTGCGGTACTATGTGATTCATGCTTTACAATCTGGAAAGCAAGAGAAAGTGGTCGAGTTTTTTGAGGAAAATGGGAACTACTTGCTGCAGAAACGTGAAGATTGGATGCCATGGTTTGGTGGGCTTGTTGATCCTTTTTTTCCTTGTGATTTTTTTTTACTTTTTTCATGACTTCAATAATTACTTCGTTGAGCTTGCTGTGCAGCTATTCCTTATCTTAAGAACCCTAACTTGGATCCTCAATTCCGTGTCTACTTCTCGAAGGATTGGCTTGATGCACTTCTTCTTTCATTCCGAAATTTTTTGAGCGAAATTTTCCATGGCAGTCATATCCTTTTTATACAAGTTCTCAATTCTCTCATTATCTTATGGTTAATTTGTGAAATTGTATTTGCAGGCTGTTACCAATATCATTGAGGACATAGCAAAGAGTAGTTATTTGATTGAAGACATTCTTTTGGTTTTATATGTTACTTGTTAAGAGTACTCTTTGTACATGGCACACTACATCAAATACCGAGTTACATTTTTAATCATCAATCAAAACTTGAGCTGCATTTCTTTCTTTTTTTTAATCAATCAAAACTTGAGCTGCATTTCTTTCTTTTTTTTTAATTCGTGACATATTAGTAATATGACATATTTCTCTTAACCAAATTTACGAATCCCTGCTCTGTTAAAGATATCTATCGAGAAGAATACAGTTAAAAGACTCAAAGGTGACATAAAGCAACTGAATCACAAGCTATCACAATTGCAAGCATTGTTAGAGGCAAAGGAGTCTGAGATTTCTCAGTTGAGAAGGTATGGTTGTTTTTTATCTTTTTTGCTTATATGGTTTGCTCCTCCATGATTTTTGCTGCTGCATGTCTACTTCATAACTTAAAATGTTTTGTTTATGAACCTAGCATGACAATGATTTAACCAGACCATATACTCTTAAGACCTTGTTGATACTGTTTCTGTTTTTCCCCCTTTCCTTTCTCTTCCTGAATTAGGGAATGTTCTCAACTAAAATTTGCTTTCAGATGCTGCTTTATAATTTCTTCTCCTTTTATGCTTTTTTCTGGATCTACCTTGTCTTCTATAGCATGTTTGTGGTAACAAAACTGATGTTGTTGTCCGTTCAGTAGAGTTGTTTCGTCACTGGAGAGCAGTATTCAAGAGAAAGAATCTATGAATGATATTCCCACTGAGACATTCCCAAAGGAAAATGGCCGTAATTTTCCAGTGGCAGATGTTCAACAAACTGGTGCTGGTAGTTCTTCTCTACAAGAGGGAAGCTTATCCATAGAAAGTGGTGGAGATGCATCAGATTCTGCTGGTGTTCCAAAGGAATTGACCTCATTAAAGCTGGAACCAGTTTCAAGTTCATATAGTAAACTTTCGATTAGAAGTGATGAATCCGAGGAAGCCCTTCAGACATTTCAGGCAGGTTGAGCTTTATTCTTAATATAAGGGTTCGGGGGGGTGCGTACTATATTATTTTTCTTGGACACATGACTGGCAGCATGCTTCCTCTCTTCACTGTTATGTTTATATTCAATAATTGCCATAAGCCTATAACTTGTGACAATGATTATATATAGGTTAGTGTTTTAGATAGACACATTTCTTTGCATGTTCCTTAGTTTATTTCCTTTTTTTTTTTTAGAAAATACTTGTTCTTTATTTGTCTTTCAATGTTTTCACCTTTTCATGGTTGCACAGACTCACCTAATGCTCTGGAATGCTTGTTCAGTTGTCTATTTTAAGCATTTTGCTCTAATCATATCGACGTCTGAATTAGTGACCATCCTCTTCTGAGTTCTAACTTTTTCTGCAGTGATGGTTCATAAAACAATTGATCATTATGGACATTGAAAATTAAAAACTATTACTTGTTTTCTCCCCTTGACCTTTGATGTCTAACACGACAAATGATATAGTTTGACGCCTAACATATTCAATACTCTTGTAGAGTTGTAGTTGTATAATTTTCGTTACACTGAAGCATTCTTTCATCGTACTGCACAGTAAGTTATTCTCTATGGATAAAAAAATCATTCTATTTTGAGACTGGATTTTCCTTTTACCAAAGCTCTCATATCTGATTTATAATCTACTTTGTCCCTGTATCATTGAATAAATATTCACATTAGAAATTGGTGGAAGTGGAAATATATGGGACTAGTGACTACCATGGGTAGTAAATTAGCATGCACCTAAGGTTCCAATGAATGCCTGATCTTCGTTCTTTATGTCTCAACTCTCGTATCTTAATGCATCTTTCTTTTTTACCTTCCTCCTGAATACTGCAAAGTGATATATTTATGTATTTTTAATTTTAAATAGTGAATCAGAAGTGAAGTCATCCTCCCTTGTGGTTCTGCTACTAGATTTGTCACAGAATTTTTGTGCTCGAGTCTAATTCTATATCCTGTATCTAGTGATATGACATGTTTGTTCTCTGTTCATGAGTTGTAAAATTCTGATTAGGTCTTTCATTTTAACTGAAGCAATTTTATTGGAAAATCTGAATGAATTGAAATTTCAGCAGGTAACATAGGAGAAATTTTGGGAGAAGAAGATTTCCCTGAAGTGAAAGTGGACTTTCAGGTGAATTTTAAAGCCATGTTCTGGTATCAAGCTCTATGCCAATTTTGTATTACAGTTTGTCAATTATTTTTTGCCTTTTCTTCGGGGTTAGTTTGACTGTGAGTTTTTTCTGCTAATGTTAGTTTGAAAGCAATTTCTTACGTGTTCATGAGGTCTGAAAGTTATCTAATTATGTGTTAATATTCAGGAGACATTCCTTGGGCATACCAGTCCGATTAGTCGGTGCCGATTTTCTGCTTCTGGAATGAATATCGCAAGTGCTTCTGTTGACGGTACTGTTAGGTATTCATGCAACAATGCAGAACTAACGTCCGTTATATAGATTAGTTAGTTTCACCCTCTTATCACTCAGCTGACCTAGTCTTCTCATCAAAACCTGTCAGGATTTGGACACACGACTCATCAACTCCTACATCAAGAAATGCAACCATCTTTTGTGGAGCAGAAGTTATGTCACTTGACTGGGAATGCAGGTCCGATCGTTTGGTATGTTTTTTGTCCTGTAGGCATTTGTCTTAAGCATATATAATCGTTGCAAAATTGAAGCTAGGAATTCATGATATGGACTTTCTCATTCTCTTGACAATAGCTTCTCATAGGCACAACAGACGGTGGAATTAAAGCTTGGAATGTTGATGCTAAAAGAGTTGTTTGTGACCTCAGCACTACAAAGGAGTTCCCGAGGTTCTTTTAAGAATAATGTTTCCAGCATGCTTTCTCTTTTTTCCCCTGGTTAGCCCATTGCTTAAGTATAGTCTTTTATATTGCAGTGTTGTGGATTTGAAGTGCAGTCCAGTGGACCCGATTTTTGTCTCTGCAGCTGCATCTAAAAGGTATTTAGTTTTGACTCATGTGATCTCTATTGAAAATGCTCTCTCAACTTGAGAAAGGAGGCCTATAATATTCATTAAACTGTGAATGCTCAAACTGTCAGTGACTTTGCAGAATTCCAGACTTCATGTAATTAGGGGTTTCCAAAGAAAATAAGGAATGAGAGAGGGGGAGATGAGGTGCGGTTTAGCAAAATAAAATAAAAACTGCAAATGAAAATTAAGGAGACTTGATTGGCAACGATGAACTAGAAGGTAACAATAAGCTATGGCCCAAAGAATAAACAGTGTGGGAGGGAGATAGTATGTGATTATCTAAATCGGGAGGCTTGATGGACTGCTTAAAAATAGGAAATAACAGTGAGCAGTGAGAGTCGTTGATGGATATCAGAATGCACTTTTTATTCGTGGATTCCAATTCACCAACTTTTAGTGGAACGTTATTTAATTCCATTTTCTATGTATGGAATTCATTACTGAACTGGCCATCAAGGGTCAATTCAATGAAATGCAACTCAATGTCCAATTACTCATAACCAGATAGGCCCCAGGAAGTCTTCGTAGCATGTGCTATTGTTTCCTTTCTGATTGTTGATTATTATTAATATTGCTGCTACTCAGCACTTTTGAATTTTCCATGGAAAGGAAAGGAAATGTTTGATCATGATTTATTTGATAAATATTGTTGATCATATGCACTGTGTGAATTGTTTCTATCATGTCTTCTTTTATGTATTTATATACAGGCAAGGCTCAAGCAAAATTGATAAACTGGGGCTTGCATCTTTAACCGTTTGGAACATGAAAACATGGAAAGCTATGGTATGGACCAAGGTTTAGAAAATTTAATGTAAGCTCTGAAATTGGTTCGACATGAATTTAAGTTACTTCGTTAAAAATCTACTGTTGTGTAGTCAGTTCTTCCTCTGGGTAAAGATCCACCTGCAATCACTTCACTTAGTTTCAATCACAACGGGAAGATTTTAGCAGCCTCTGCAACTGATGGGATGATTCACATGTTTGGTATCCTCAACTATATTATATTAATTGAAGATATTCTGTGGAGTTGTCTTTCCAATTTTTTGTTAGCAGTGTGAAAAAAATTCGTTTCTTTATATCCTGAACATCGGATCTGAAGTTATCTATAGGTGTATGTGTTGGTTGCTACAGAGTACAGACCTGCCGGGCTGTGTCCAACACTTGTTTTTTCACAGATCAAAAGTGATAGCTTTTCTTAAAGGTCATGCATATCATTAACGTGTTATGCCTCTTTTGCCTCTTTTACTCTGGGATTGTAATAAATAAAATGCTTTCACATAACTCTACAATCTATATTTTGTGTTCTTGCATATACAAATATAAACTATAATATAGGTAAAATGTTAAGTGTTCATATATTTTAGAACTGAACATGTATAGGAAATGTCCTTGTATCTAGACCTCCTATATTGCTATGTTCAACACTTCAACACTTGTATTTATCTGCTTTTGCACAAGCAGATAGCCTAACTAGATCACTTTATCGAATATAGTACATACAATATGATATTTCATCTTTTTAAATGACTGCATGGGAAGTACGAAGGATTACTTATGATTCCTTAATAAGCCATAGACATGTCTGCTGGCCTGCAAATCACAGGATGGCCAGCTCATGATTCTGCTGTAAGCTCTGTGCTATTTGGACCGGATGAGACTAGTATCTTCAGTTTGGGCTCTGATGGGAAGGTATGTAAGTGGCTTCATGAATTGCAAAGCACCCTTTGTTTGAAGCGGATCAAATTAACATCTCTGCCTATTCTCTCTGAAAGTCCGAATATTCATTTTTGCCAATTTTCACTTCTGAAACATATATGCAGCCATTGTGAATCGGATCAAGTTAATTCCTTGACTTGATACGCCCATAACATCTCTGCCTGTTTCCTCTGAAATTCTGATTTTTCATTTATGCCAATTATCACTTCTCAAAGCTTAAGTTTGTGCCAACTAAGGCCTTGCTCCATGGTAAAGGTAAGGTGTGAGATTAGATAATGGGAGCAACCTTTGTTCAATAGAAAGAGGAAAGCAAAAGGCTTGTCATTATCTGCTCAAAGAGTAATATTGTAAATTACAATTTATTATTTTTATTACATATATCTGTTACTAACTGTAATTTTCTAACTTGGCATTATATTCAAAAAATAATAATGAGAAGCTTTTTGGTAACAGTATGAAGACATGTTGATTACCTCTGCTGTATTAAAGGAAAAACTAAGTATAATGGAATGTTGTGAGATTAGATAATGGGAGCAACCTTTGTTCAATAGAAAGAGGAAAGCAAAAGGCTTGTCATTATCTGCTCAAAGAGTAATATTGTAAATTACAATTTATTATTTTTATTACATATATCTGTTACTAACTGTAATTTTCTAACTTGGCATTATATTCAAAAAATAATAATGAGAAGCTTTTTGGTAACAGTATGAAGACATGTTGATTACCTCTGCTGTATTAAAGGAAAAACTAAGTATAATGGAATGTTGTTATTCCATTATTAACTTTTTTGACGTCTCTAATTGTATTTCCAAATGAATGATTGCAGATACTTGAATGGAGCCTGCAGAATCAAGGTCAAGTTCTTTGGTCTAGAGATTGCAGTAGGTACAACATAATTATGTAATTCATTATTAATATATTTTATTTTCTGTTTTATGTTTACCTTTGCACTTAAAAATAAGCAAGGAACAAATCTCCATCATTCGTTCATACATGATGCCATGAGACTTATCAAACATCCAAATCCAGATACGTTCAAGTTGTTATAAGTCATTAAAGTTGCATAACTTATACATGCAAACCAATTATCAGTAAATTAAAACTAAAAAAATAATAGAGAGATTTACATTTATGTAAAAGCTAGAGAAGATCATCTTCCAATAACTGTAAAAAGATCATCAAAATCGTAAACATAATTATTAAAGGATTAGATTATACAGAATGAGAGCATGCATGTCAAGTCTGTAGACGCATTGCACTAGTAAAATGCATATGCATGATGTAGAAGCAAATTAAAGTTTCTTTTCCTTAAAAACTGATATGGTTTTTACTACGATTCCTTTTGATAAATTGTAAATTTCCATTCCATCTCTATTGTTCTGGTAAAAAATAACTTTGTTTATTCTGTTTATAAAATTTCTACTGATAAACTAATCTAGTTTAGAAAAAGATAACTAGAATATGCATGTTTTCATTAAGAATATGCCTAAATCATGTTGATGACGAACAAAAATTCATAATTTACAAGTCTTATTCAAACATGAGTTATGTATGATCAACTATATAACAAGAGCTCTCAAAACATAAAAATTCTGGCAAACATTTTTGATACATTTTTTATTTATGAAATTAATAATTTATTCCACAAACTTAACTTGAATATGGCTTTAGACTTGCACTCTTAAGCTAGACCATGGCATGCTTTAGAATATTTACACTTCTGTCATGACTAATCTCATGACCGTGTCTATTTTCCTATTACATGAATATTTGTATGGTTTAAGATTCTAAGGAATTTTAAATTCCATACATTAGAACTTAACAATAACCCTCATTCGAGTGTTATAAAAAAAACATAGTGATATTTATGCTACGGGTGTATAATCTTTTGTCTGTTGAAGTTCCTCTCAAGGGCAATATCTGGTAGACATCTACTTATCAAATTGTCTCTTACAACTTCTATTAATGGTTAGTCCTTTCTCTCACTAGCTTCATCCTCAAGCAGTTTAAATCACCAACGCTAACAAGGTTGTGTTTCCACATACAACAGGAGGTGGTCCTTAGAAGTAATCCAATTTATTCTTCCAGCTTGAAGTTTATGAGATGTCTCTGTATCTCTATTGCTTAGTAAAAGTAGAAACACATGATCAAAATGTTTGACATTGTGGAGTTGTTTGACCATTACTTATGATAGATTCTTGTCTCTACAAATACTACTCTGGCTGCAACCCAGATATCATTTTTTTTTCTTTTGCACAAATTTTATAGAAAATGTGGTTTCTTAAACTCTTATTGTTTAGTGACTTTTGTCTAAACTTGCCCTCAATCATCTATAGCTGAAAAGACGAAACCATGCAGCTTTGATTACAGTATAGCTCTCATTTTCCTTCATATTCAGATGATATTGTAGAAATAATTGCATGATGTTATTTAATATAATAGGTTCTGCTATCCTGAGAGCGAAAAAGTATGCAGGCATGAAATATCTCTGGATTCTAATGGAAGGAGATTGTTGGTGACATCTGGTTCTGTGAGATCCCCCATATACCAGGTTATCCACGTTTTCTTCATATTTATTTTGCTTTAATATAACTGAGTTCTTAACATCATCAACAAATAAACAACTTATGTTTAGGTGCAAGGTCATATGCGCGGTCTGAAAACATTACCTCATAGTGCTGCAATAACAAGCGTGGATTGGCACCCGACGCTTCCCATCTTCATAACTGGGTCTGCTGACCACTCGGTCCGAGTTACATCCATTATCTGATGAAATATTGGTGATCTATTTGTGTGTACAGTGCCAAGTTTCCTATGACATGCTGCTCTCTTGACTTCTGGCATCTAACGAGTGTGTTCAAAGCCTAGGGCTTGTCGTACTGATGAGAGACATCAATTGAGCTGGTTTCATGGTACACTCCTGCTTCCCACCCATTATTAACAACGGCTGAGCTGGTTTCACAGATTACTCCTGCTTCCCACCCATTTGTTCATGGTTTTAAAATTCTGCAATGCCATACATTATGGATTACCTAATATAATGAGGTGAAGCAGAATGAAATGGTTACTCTTGGCAATCTACTTGATTTCTGACTGTGTGCTTCTCTGCTGCAATTGTAGCATTATAATGTAAGCCAAGTTGCATAGTATTTCAGAATTAGCTGTACAAAGGCATCTCGAAGCCCAAACTCACTTCTTGTTGTAATTTTCAGTTTTTCTTGGTTTTCATAGTTACATTTATCGATTGGGGAATGGGATTTTCTTTTTTTCATGTACACCTAAGTAGAGTGTATGAACTCTGAATGTAAGTTGGATTGAAAATACAAATAAAGTCTGTACAAACATATGACTATGGCACCTTATTTGTATGTAGTTTGGTATTTGAAATTATGGTTTATAGTTTGCAGAGGAAAATCTTTTATCTGCAAAATTTGTTGTAATTATAACATTCTAATTTATTATTTGGGCATTCTATTACTTCATAAATTTGTCTTGAATAATTGTTAGAGACCCTATTTTTCTTGAATGATTTGGGGCATTTACATGTGCAATTATAGTACAGTATGATATATTATTGACAGGTACACATGTACAGGATATTTATAACTTGAATAATTACATTTTCTAGTTTTCTATTTTGGTAATCATTTATGTTTTATAGTCAATTCTAACATTGTTAGGTATCGAGAGCTTTTCTGAATTTTACTTTGTAAAGCAAAGTAAAAAGAGAGAATTGTCATGATATTTCTTTATCCTTCAATTTACCAGGTGAGGCCCTTTGAAACATGTAAATTGTGGATATTCAAAATCCTTTTTGCAATGGTTTGATTTCTCCAATTTAATTCTGAGATCAATTCAGGTGTGTTAATCTAACTTATTGTAATGTATCACTTTCAGTGTTCTCCATAAATTTCTTCTTTGTTTCCAACAATCAAGCTCTTAACTTGAAAAATTCATCATCATGTAGGAGAGGGAACAAAAGGAAGAAAATGGATCTAAGATATTTTCTTAGGTATCCAAGACCTTCCTTGTGATGCTCATCACATTTGCCATTTCTATCTGGCTCCCAAGTAAGCTTTCTTTACTCCTATCTTTTGACTCAAATTGACAGTTCATATGGATTATAATTTTTTTATAACTTATTAATGCTACGGAAAATGATTGACGTAGAAGGTTACTAACTTATTAGAGTACTAATAGGCGCACATCTCTCAATCTTCCAATAGCTTCGAAATGGTAACTGATTGGAAGGGGTCCAAAGATGAATTCATTAGAAATGAGTCTTTTAAATATTCATCCTAGGCGAAAGGTCGGGAAAATACCACGTTTTATGTAAATTTTGATAAATAAAAACTTGGTGTTAGTTTGCGATATTGCATATGCATTTTGATAAGCTTTGAAGGAGAAGAAACATACCTTCAAAACCAAGAAAGGGACCACTCATTGTTACCAAGATGTGATGCGCCTCTGAATCTTCAAATTAAAAGTTGGTTACTTTAATATGTTGATATATATGCTACCCATTCACATGTGTACTTGATCCATGAATTTTTTTGACAATAGAAGGAGGTGAAACTCACATTTTGTAGGGAAGCAATGACCATGTCATCATTCACATTGATATATACTCGACTTTTTATTGGTGAGACTTGGTGCATGATGAGTATAAAATAATGCATTCCTATAGATCACTTGTCTAAGGACTCCTCATCATCTATTATCTAGATTATTATAATTATTAATTAAAGAATAAGGGAGTTTACAAAACCTGTGTCATAGAGGACTGGTTCAAGTACAAATATCGCAATTACTGGAGGATTTTAGCTTGGATCAGGATTTCATGTTTGCCCTTTATGGAAATATTTGTATGTGGTAGTTAGGTAAAGAATAATAGGAGACCTATGTGGTATTGATACCACCATGCCATATATAGTACAATGATTTGGTGCAAAAGCCAAAATTCTTGTGATCAGCTTAATGTGTCATTGTGTTGAAAGAGAGATCCCTAAAAAGCAGTGAAAATTGCGTGAATACCTAAATGAATTTTGTGCGTTAGCTTGTGAGCCTTATTCAAGTGAAGTGTTTGAGTAAGACTCAGTTTGAACTGTCAGAAAAAGACAACTACACAAAAGAGCTCAGGAGTAATTAAGTTGAGCATCTCAGTAACCTTCAAGTAATGGTTCGGTCTGAAGTATCTAATTTCACAAGCCTGCTACCTGATGGTTTTAGTCTATATGCTACATATATGCTTATGCATATTAGATATTCATGTAGATATCAAATCTGGATTTTGTTAGTATAATTTTATATTTCGTCCTCATTATTATGACAATCATGCAAATCTCTGGAGATTTACTGACATCAACATGAACCAAGAAATAGAATGGGAAAACAAGTGCATGCTTTGTAGGATCAGGTTTTTTAAGCACATCAAGTTGATAAATGAAAGTTCTATAATTGATAAAGAAGTATAGAAAAGGCAATCAAAGAAGATATAATAACTATTAATTTAAGCACCTGAGTGCAGGAAAAAAATGCTTGTATAAATCTAAAAGTCTAAAATAAATAATTTATTGTTGCCATATATGTAACTAATTTCTAATCTTTGCCTCCCTCTTTCTGTAGACATCTGAAACCTTAACCTTACAGTATTGTCAGAAATTCTAGCAATATAACAGGAAGGAGACTATGAAGAAAATTCACGCAGAACATGGCCTTCTGAGGTCTCCTCATTCCCTTATGGAACACCAAATCCATAAAAGTAAAAAAAGAAATGAAAAAGGCCTCCTCTGTCTCATATGACCCTCAAAGTTTTTATACCTGACTCTTTCAGCTGCATACGAGTTGCCATACTAGAGGGTCCCAAGAAGAATTATTGCATAACGTCAGGTGTATGAGACCAATAAACTTTTTATAACTGACTCTTTCATATGCATATGTTATATAGTCTTTTTAAGTAGAAAACTTTAAGCACAATAAAATTATGAATTTTCAAGATCATTTTCTTCTAGATAGTTTGAGGTAGATATGTTGCTCTATCTATAACCTTTCTTATCTCAACCTTCTTGGGTCTGTCCTCTATGTATAAATATTACTTTGTACTATCTTTGCAGAACTCGGTCTCTCTGTTACAATTTTCCACATATATATACTCAAGTCTTCGATTCCTTCAAAGTTATTTCATGTAAATTCGAAAAATTGAATATGTGCGTGCTTGCTGTATCTGTGTTATTGGCATATGGTTACTCGTATCCATGCATGTGTATGTTGCTTGTGTGTTTGTTACACACTTTAATTGTGTGCATGTGTACGCTTGTATTAGTATTATTATACATGCTAGAGCTTTGAACTTGTTTCTGAAAAATCTTGACTAGTGTCCAGATAATTATAGAAGTACAAAATAAAGATTTTGTGCAACCATTTGATCTGTGAACTCAAAAGTACATGCATTGTTCTCCCTCCTTTCTGCTCAATAGTACATATATAATGCCTGCGAGGTCTGCTATTAGCATTAATAATAGGCTGAGTTAGATGAGTCCAAACCTGAGTCGGGATACAATTTATCAGAATTGATGCAGTAATATCAACGCATTGTGAATTACACAGAAACGTAACTAATGAATGTGAATATTATATTGAAATTCTGCATCAACCATCTTCTATGCCTGGAAGCTATGTAGTGATTCGACCAAGATTGTTGGTGTGCATTAGGGGAAGAAGAGTTCTTGTATCAATCTTCTAATCTAAACCTTATTTTTTTGCATTTATCCAAGGATAAACATTTTTTTTTTTGTGAATCACTTGATATTTTCTCCTACCCTTGAACAAGGTTAGACGACAGTTCTACTAATGAAAGAGCAGATAAGAGGCTCAGAATCCAGATCACAGTGACCAATAGCCAATTGACTTTTAAATGCTCCACGATGGGTCCCTCAAGAGCAATCACACCTCAATAACTCTTAACCAACCAGGGCTGTTGACAGATAGAGAGAAAGCAGGTAACTTCATAATTAATGTAGCTACGGAGCTCGACAGGATGAGTTATCACTGTCTCTAAATTTTCATGTAGCTGTGTTTGTTGGGGGATTCTCAAACTCATATGTATGCAAGGCTGTTCCTGTTCTCACATTAAAGATGGCTGCCAATTGGTCCAAAGACACCTTGTAAAGTAATAAATTATAAAAACAAGATATTATCTAGGTCTGCAAGACCATTGGCCTTTTTTCTCATTTTTACCCTACTTGCATTCATTGGTGGTTTTGTTTTGCTTAAAGGGTTAATTGCAATAGACCCCATGTATTATCATTCAATTGCAGATGGAGCCCCTGTAGTCTATTTGTTGCTGGTAGACTTCCTTTGAGAGTGAAACTTTTCGACTCTTTTACCGTCGGAGAAAGCAAAAGTTATCTTGTCACGAATAGAACTCATGAGGGTAAAAGAACAAAAAAAAAATATTTCACTCGGGGAGCCTATCTGCAACAATAGAACTACCGAAAATCTATCTGCAGTTGAGCCATAGTACGTATGGGGTCTATCTACTATTAACCCTTGTTTAAATTTTATCTTATGACATCTCTTCAAGTGCGGATACTGATAAGTGATGTCTTTTCATGTACAGAAGGGAGACGTAGTTTCGTCAGCTGCGGCTCAAAATGACTAACTCTGAGCGTCTTCAGTCGATCAAGAGCCTTTTATTGACGCTGTAAGGTGTGTATAAACCCTCCTTTCATTTCAGTAATTTATCTTTTAGCTGAGCATTTTCTTTTTGGAATGAAGAGACTCTTGGGTAAGACTAAGCATGGTAAGCTTCACCATGATTATCCACTGCACACTGAAAAACCGATGCCTTGTTTTCTCTCCTCTACCTAAATTATCCACCGCACACTGAAACGGGTAAAATTTGTTACCCACCTATTATTCTTGGTATCCTACTTCTCCAGATAGCTAGCATCTTCATCTGAAGTTAATATAACTTGCTGTTTATATTGGTAAAATATTGATGGACCCATAGGTTTTATACGATATCGGGGGTACATTTCCTGGTGGTTACCCCTCTTGCAGGACCTCTTCGCACTCTTCGGAGTAAAAGCCATGTGGGAGAATGGACCCAACCCTAGGACATGATTTTATTGAGGGGTAGAAGTGAAATTGACTCCGCAATGCACCGTGGCAAGTTGGCGGAGGACAGCTGAGCCATTTATGGAGTAAAAGATACAAAGCATTAGGGATTTGCTTTTCTAGTAAGTCATTTTTTTATGCAGACGGTTGTGATTTATTTCAATTCTAATTCGCTTAGATTAGCCTCCCGTTAGGAACGATGCAGAGACCGCTGCTATTTTTTTTAATTATAATGGCTTGTTTATTATTTAGTTGGCAGTTTTAATTGTTTAATTAATTTAAATCCAGCATGCAATTATCACAAGTCCTAGTTGTTTATGTACTCAATAATAAACAAGTGCGACCTAGAACGATGATGGTCTTGCTTTTTTACTGTTCCTATTGAATACCAATTATAATTGTTTTGTTTAGGAAAATGAGAAAAGAACATGGAGGGGGTCAAAATTCATTCATTAGCTTGTAGTCCTTTTGTCTTTTCCCCGCCCCCCTCTCTATATGTACCAATCCCCTCTCCCCATTTCTTCATGCAACGGTCTCTCTCTCTCGTCTCTTTTTTTTCCTTCTTTGGACATCTTTTTCCTGCTATCAACATTACTCATCTTATACGCTCTCTGCCCTCTATGGAAGCTCCTCCAACAATGGAGAAACAGAGGATGCTACCTCATCGACTTTGTCTGCTTCAAACCCTCCGATGACCGAAAGATCCCTACGGATTTCTGCGGCAAGATCTTGAAGCGCAACGAATGCCTCGGCCTCGAGGAGTACCGCTTCCTTCTCAAGATCATCGTGAGCTCCGGCCTCGGCGAGCACACCTACGGCCCCCGCAACATACTCGAGGGCCGCGAGAACTCCCCGACCCACGACGACTCCATCTCCGAGATGGACGAGTGCTTCTTCGCCACCCTCGACGATCTCTTCACCAGGACTGGCTTCTCTCCTTCAGACGTCGACGTTCTCGTCCTCAACGTCTCCATGTTTTGTCCTGCTCCATCGCTGTCTGCGAGGATTATAAATAAATACAGGATGAGGGAGGACGTCAGGGTGTTTAATCTCTCCGGTATGGGATGTAGCGCGAGCGTGATCGCGCTTGATCTCGTCCAGAATGTATTAAAATGTCACGAGGAAACTCTGGCTTTATTGGTGACGTCGGAGTCGATTGCGCCGAACTGGTACTCAGGGAACAGGCGGTCGATGATGCTTGGAAACTGTCTGTTCCGCTCTGGTGGCTGCTCTGTCTTGTTGTCCAATGATCCAAAACTGAGGCACAGGGCGAAGTTCCAGCTGAAGCAGCTCGTCCGGACCCACCTCGGGAAGAGCGACCGGGCCCACAATGCTGCCGTGCACACCGAGGATGAGCACGGGCATGGCGGGATGGATCTCAGCAAGGACCTGCCGAAGGCGGCAGCCCAGGCATTGCTCGAAAACCTTGGTGTCTTCGCTCCAAAGATACTTCCGGTCAAGGAGATCGTCCGTTACGCTGTACTTAATGTGGCCAGCTCGATAAGGAGAAGGAGAAGAGCAGATCAGAAGATCGGAGGTGGGGCGAAAGTGATCGTCCCGAATCTTAAAGCTGGGGTGGATCACTTCTGTGTTCACACCGGAGGGAC